TCTACATTATAAACAATATTTATGTTACAGTATTTACTTTTAAACTTTTTATTAAGTATTTATCTGATGCAAACTTATTATTATATTATATTATAAATTATTTAATTAATACTTAATTTTTAAATTTCAATAAAATAATAACAATTTACTATGTTATTTGTAAGCTCCATATATTAACTAAATTGTAATTACATAACAAAACTTTTATAAAATTCTCGATATTCAGAATACAGTATATTAATCATTTGTATGTCAAATGTAATGACAGTTATTATGTGCTCTTCGGATAACTTCCGAAACACATTGCATTCAATTTGTGGTGAAACTTGATTATAGTTAACTAAATGATAAACATTCAATTCATGTATTTATTACAGTATTATCAAATAAAAATATAACATTTTGTAACTCTTAATTTCAATGAATTTAAGTAAATTTTATTAAATTTATTTTCTACAAAACAATTTTACCAATTAATGAAATGAAATATTTAATGTTTATTGAACGAAATAATTATTAAATGTTAATACATTTATGAAAATACTTTATATAATACTATGAAATATAAATTATTTTAAATACAATCACATAATTCACTAAAATATATGACAAAATAAATTGTGACTAAAAGTAATGTTCAAAAGTCTTCATGTATTCACTTCTTCCTGCGTTGAATTTGTGCGATAAGATATGGCGGCACCTGATTGTGGACATGGATTAAGACATGAGTACTTTAATCACATTTAGGCTATTATTTTGATAATTACATGAAAGAGCACCAAATGGTTATAAACAAGAGTTTTGGTGATATAGAAGCTGTCTTTGGCCCTCTCCATAATGGTCTCCATTTCCTTCAATCCTTCCATTTGTTTAGTTCTCTTCTTTTGGGCCAAAACTGGGAAGAGATTTGGGGCCATAATTGTGGCGATATTATGGACAGTCATCTTATTGAGGTTTTCGTGGTCTGTGATATCGTTGAATAAGTATAGAATGGCTTCCAATGTGTTTCGATGGCAATCATTGATGAGTAAAATCAATAGATTTAAGACTTGGATTTGTTGCAAAAAATCAGTTATTTCTGTAATATTTTCATAAAAAATAGTTATAAAAATAAGTTTTAATGAAAGTATTAAAATGTACTTGGCACTAAAATAAAGGCCTCCAAAAGGTCTTGAGTGAGTAGAGGGTCGGGCAGTTCTCGGATGAATTGCTTGAGAACACTGCAGATGTCATAAATGGTATATTTATTCAAAACGGCAAATATCTCTTCAGTGCTCTCTTTGTAACCATTGGTGTAATACAAGTGGAAGAGTCGCTCCAACTCTTGTTTGAGGACCTAAATTGAATACATGTGTCAATAAGGGTATGAATATTATACAAATAGATGGTTAAGTGACGGACCA